CCAAAATCAAAATAGGAGCAACATTCTACACAAACACACCTTCAAAATGAGGGGTGTTCAGGTTTTTTAAATGCAAAATTGAAAGAAATAAGTCAAGTTGATATTGACCAAATTTTGACCGTATCACCCTTTACTCGAGTCAGCTGGTGGACGGTCGAACGATCTTTCCGAAAACCAAACTGTTCCTCGAGTAACAAGTTGTTTTCTTCGGCAGATGTTAGGAGCCGGTGGTAGACTGCTCTTTCGAACAGTTTTGATAACCCTGAGAGAAGGCTGATTGGTCGATTGAAGGAGAGGACGGATCCTTCCCAGGTTTCCGGATGGGTATGAGTTTAGCTGACTTCCAGCACGAGGGGAAGTAGCCAAGTCGGAGGCACAGATTAAAAATACGTGCCAGATGGTTGTAGAATCTTGAACTCAAGAGTTTGAGTTCCAGATTCAGGATGTTGTCGAAACCTGGGGCCTTCATGTTTTTAGATGATTTGATATAGGCCAACAGTTCGTCAGCCGTAATCTAGGATTCCTCGAAAAAAATATTGGGAACCTGATGGAGGTTGGTTGCGTTTTCAGCAACCTCAGCTTCGTGAGGGCTGACGATGTTGTGTCCGAAATTATGGGAGCTGACGAAGTGTTGACCTATCGCGGCAGTCTTCTCTTCAGGAGTTAACAGATGAACCACTGGATCGCTGTAACGATTCAGTGGGGTCAGTGGTGGAATGGGTATTGTTTTTTTTTTTTAGAATTTTGGTTAGTTTCCAAATGGGCTTTGCACAATCTGGGAGAGACCGGATCCTGTTAGCAAAGTCCTGGTTTGTTAGGCGATTACAGTGGGTCTTAAGGACAGGCAGACCAGAGCGTTTGTACTGCCTTCGGATGGTGTTACGGAGTCTTATAAGGTCTTTGGTAGATTTGTCAACGTTCAGAGTATTGCTCACCTGTTTGGATACTGACACCGGGATATCGCCTCGTCGATGGAATGCATACACCGGTCAACGTCTTCGGGCGTCTCCGTAAGGACACCGTAGTCGACAGTGAAGTCGACACAGTGTTGGAACTGATCCCAGTTGACACGATGATAGTTGCGTCGGGAAGCTTGGGATCGGTTGACGGATGAACCCATTTCGGCCACCACCGGATAGTGGTCCGAACTCAGCTCCTGGTGAGTCACAGGTTGCTGGATGTTGTCTCCCATGTTGCTGATAAAGATGTCGATGATGGAGTGCACGCCGGACTGACTCAGCCGGGTGGGAGTGTCCGGCGCTAGGATCAACAATCAATACGAAACTAACGATTTTAAATAGGCTCACCACTTTAGTAGCCTATTGGTCCCAAGCAAACGATTAACGTACCCTATTCTAGTTGAAATTCTATTACTACACTATGTTTGTTTTGATTCGCTATGAAAGTTTGACAGATAACATCAGGGGTGTGTGGATTCATGCAGAACATGCAGGGGTGAGTGAAATAGCTTGGGACTGCTTGGGACCGTTGTTCTGGTACTGAGTGAGCCAAAAATAATAATGATTTTCTTCGGGACCCAGTGGTCTTAGAGTTACCTCTATGCTAGGATGGTGTAGTGAGCCTCTTGAAGGTCGTCGTTCAGGATGGTGTCATTTTGATTCCGCCTTATGTTGCTCCAAGCTTGATGTTTGGCGTTCGGTTGCTTTCTTTATTTTAGAGATTTTTAGCCTGAGGCTAGTTCATCTGGCGTTCGGGTTGCCAGCGATGATGAATTTTCTACGGCGTCGTGTTATCTTGACAATATCCCTCCGCAGATCTACCGCGGATCCTTCCCTGGCGATGGCCACACCACCACCTCCAGAGCTTGTCACGAGCCGGAATCCAGGAATAAATACGTTCATCTCCGGTTTCAGGTGAGTTTCGGTGATGATAGCGATGTCGATGCTATGTTCGTTGAGGAAGTCAACGAACTCGATAATTTTGCTCTTGAGCGAGCAAGCGTTCCAGTTTGCGATTTTGATGAGCTCACGGTCCATAACTGAGCATGAAGGTAGCCACAGCTTGGAGCTGGTCGAATTTGTTCTTGATGGTGTTGGCAATGTCGTGCATCTTGAGGAAGGTGATCATTAGTTCCGCTGCGGTGAACCAAGAACCATCGTTGATTTCGGGCTGCGGTAGGGACGGGCTGTGGGGAGATCCTGCGGCTGTGGAGCAGCAGTCGTCTGTTGACCTGAGTTTGCAGGGGCTCCGGCAGTTTGAGCTTGAGCAACAGTAGCAGCGGTACGAGCAGCAGCCAATAGTTGATTGAGTGGCAGCGGTGGCAGCACTGGAATCGGTCGTCGTGGAACCGGTGGGAAGTTCTGATCATTCACTTCCGGCACCTTTGTGAGCAGCACCGCAGTTGGCGCAGTTGGGATCGGCTTCATCGAATCTGTCGCAGGCGTCGGTTTTGTGTTGTTTGCCACACTTGATGCAGCGGCTGACCATAAGGCAATTTTTCGTTCCATGCCCAAACAGCAGGCAGTTCGAGCATTGGGTGAGGTCCATCCAAGTTGTTGAGTTCTTCTCAAGGTGAACCAGGTATAACTGGTCGCGGTACTTGACGGCCTTGTTGTGGCGGGCCATCTTGTGAATTTGGACCGGCTTCAGACCATTGGTCAACAGCTCTTCCAAAAGGACGCCTGTGTCCATGTCGTATAGGCCGTTGATAACAGCCTCGATGTCGTGGGAGAAGTACTCCACCTGTGCTTGGTGGAGTATGGTATGTACCGCCTTGTAATATTTCAACGCCGGAACCAGCAGTTTGTATCCTTCCATGCACAGCTCGATGGTGCACCGGACGCCCTCCGTGATGTAAAAGTTTATTTTTTCCCGCAGTACGGGAAGCCCTTTACGTAGAAGGGCGGCATTATGTCCTTCTTCAGCGGTCCTGTTGTTTCCGTCACCGGCTCTGCACCGTCCTTTAGAACGGAGAACCGATTGTTGTCAAGCAGCTTCTTCGCAGCTGTCGAACTGTTACTGTTGTCTTCAGGCCTAGACTGTTTCCCGGCATTGCCGGCGCTAGCGTCACCGTGCGATTTTTTACCCTAGGCTGGGTCAGCGAGAGCGTTTCTAGAAAAACGCAATCGAACCAACGAAGAGAGCGTAACCGGCGCCGGTGGTGTAGTGGTAAGCGTGACTGCTTTCTCACCCCAATGGGCCTGGGTTCAATCCCAGCCGAGGTCGGTGGGATTTTTCTGAGGCATAAAAATCTCTGGTCACGTCTTCCTTCGGAAGGGAAGTAAAGCCGTTGGTCCCGGCCCATGTGCGTGTTGAATGGGTGTGATATCCTACGCAGGTGTGGAAACTGCCTTCCTGCACATTCGATTGCCGTCAATGCCCGTTCCGACATGCTTTCGATTATATACGATGTGAGACACAGCAGATTGGTGGTTGTAGAGTGGCCGACAGAAAGCTCATGTTGATCAGCATTCAAATACTGCTTGCAATGGGACAGCAACGGTTCCATAATCACTAGATCGAATAGCTTCGAAACGGCGCTTAACGATGTAATTCCTCGATGGTTTTTTTAACTAGTTCGCCTTCCATCAATCGCGTTAGCTTTACGGAGCCGATAGTTCATTGTTCTTTGTTTGTAACAAAATTCACTTAATTCTATGTCTAGTAGGAGTTGGGTCTTGGGTCGAATACTCGCGGCTTACTCGAGGTTAGAGAGGTACATTGTCGAAGGATAGGGTCAGGGGAGGAGCATGAGGGTAGGGTTTCGTTGTCTCATCAGAGCGATGTCGCCAGTATGAACGGTAGTGTGGTTCTAGATTCGTTTGGAGTTCGCGATGAGGCTCATCGAGACGGGGGGACAAGACAAACTAAAACTAAGAAAGAGATACAAAAGACAAACGAATTAATTTTTTATACTAGTCATTTGCAGAAACACATAAACCGACTGCATATAGCAGATATCGCGAGTTCCCAACACGTCTCTGATAGGAACATAGGGTTGTCTTCCTTGGGCCTCAAGGGTATTCAAAAATCACTCTCTGGCGGCGTCATTATCCGTAAATTGCCAAACTGCGTGATCGATGTCATCGTAACCGTTTCCACACCGACAGATGTTGCTGTCCACGAGGTTTATTCTATTGAGATGAGCATCTAGCGAGTAGTGGTTGAACATAAGTCTACTCATCACGCGAATGAAGTCACGACTTAAGTCCAAGCCTTTAAACCACGCTCTCGAAGAAACATTAGGAATAATTGAATGTAACCACCGTCCAAGATTTCCATTGTGACAATCGGTTTACCAACTCTAAAGGGTACTCTGACGCACTAAATGGTAAAATTCATCGTGTGAAATTTGCCCATCATAAGATTCGCCTTCCTGCGCGCCCACCTTTGCGAGAGAGTCCGCCTTCTCATTGCTTGGGATTGAGTAATGTGAGGGGACCCATACAAAGGTAATCACATATGATCTTTCGACCAGTATACTCATCTGCTCCCTTACCTTTAAAAGGAAATAAGATGAGTGCCTGCCTACCTTGTTTCATCGACCGAATAGCCTCGATCGAACTGAGACTATCCGAGAAGATGAAGTAATGGTCTGCGGGCATGTTGGAAATCATCCCCAAAGGGGAATTGGATAGCTGCCAGCGCAGCAACAATTTCTCGATGGTTATCCACAGCCTGTTACCTTCCCTTTTTGTGGACGGGAAACGTGGAAAAACATTGAACAAAGCAACATCTCCCAGAAAGTAAAAAATATTATTTGTTCCGGCCTCATTAAGCACGTTAAAAGGGCTCTAATGCGACCGAAGCATAGCTTTAGCCAATGAATAGATTAAAATACACTTTTGGTCTCAAATCTTCCATACATCTAAAGTTTCAAATCAGCGGTGGGACCTGGTTTATGACTCCTCCAGGTTATGCCAATGCCCAGGATGGCTCAAATATGAGATGTTCCCAAAATATTTCCAAACCCTATTGCTATTATCTTATTAGTAATTTATCGCATCGCACAAACTAATTTCCTTTCGTTTCTCTTCCAGGCTGCAGTCTCACCTGAGAGCCGACGTGCGCCTAACCGGTAGCCTAATCGACGACGACGATATCCACTTGATACTCGAGTACAAAACAGGAGATGAATGGGGTACACTGAAATCCCCTCGAGCAAACCGATATATCCTCCATAATGACCATCACAATCCATACATTAGCTCGTTGGAGGAGTTTGAGCAAGCACTGCCTGGATTTGAACCACATCTCTTCGTAGTCAGCGGTCTCCAGATGATGGACAACTATTTCTACGAAAAAGGTGTCCGAGAGACTAGAATCGAAAAAGTTCGCAATCAAATGATATCCCAATTTCCGTCCACGTTGATCCACTTTGAAATGGCTAGCTTTGTAGAATTGGATCTGTTGCAGTTACTGCTCCGAGATGTCATACCCTACAGCGATTCCATTGGAATGAACGAACAAGAATTGGACAATCTGAGACAGGTTTTGGAAACGGGCAAAATCAGCCTTGTGGCAGACTGCAACCCTCGCGTGGCGTTGTCACTTGATCAAGCGAGAGCCGTCTTCAGAATACTCAACGAAGACTACTTCAAACATCGCGAAAGCGATCCAAGCCGTCGAATGATTTCTAGGATTCATTTGCACACACTAGCATATCAGGCTATAATGGTAGTCAAGGATAGCAAATGGAGGCACACCAAGAATGCAGCGGCGAAAGCTTCACTGACTGCGAACCGTCACGTTTGTGCTAGTTCAATCGTTAACCCGGATGCTTCGTACAGGCTGCTGGACGATAGCTTCGCAACTTCTACCAAGCAAGGAGCAGATCGCATTCCATTTTCCGAAGCAGACCCCGTCTCCTGCTGGAACGAAACATTCGCTTTTGAATGGCAACCACCGATGGATGTGCAAATTTGTGTGGCTCCGGTGTTGATTTGCAAGGTGGCAAAACAGACCGTCGGTGCAGGAGACAATATTTCTGGAGCCGGTTTGATATTACAAATTTAGTAGATCTTAATCCGTTTTTGAAATTTCCAATTCCAAGACATAAAATGTTTAAAACTCACCGTTTTTAGGCCGTTTCTATCAACACCCTTAAGACTTATTCGACATTCCTATTTTACTGAGTGAATCTTTTTTTAAGCATGTTGGACAATACAGAACCATGTTGAAGCCTTAATTTATCGCTCCTCACTATACTATATCCGACAATCCCAATTACCCATGGCTGTTCGGATGCATGAAACTACTGTGTTGTACGTGTAACCGATAAATTTATACAAAAAATAAGCGATGAAGTAAACTAATATACTCACTTACAACCCTGGCATGACATAAGCGATGTTGTCCAATGTGTTTTGAAACAATTCTTTCAAATGATTCGTGTCCGGTTGCAATCCCGGAATGTGGATAGTTAAGCACATCAGCGGTCCCAGAGAGCACAACAAGCTGTCCAAAAGTACCGAAAGGCTGCCGGAGACTGCTATTTGACCCTACAAAGATTGTTCGATGTAAACAAACTTTAAAATCAATATCAATTCAATCGCACTCAACTACCTCGTGTTCCTTCAAGCGCTCGCCAATGATCGTCAAGCTATCGCCAAGTAACTTAAGATGAGCTGCCACATCCGTTGGTTGATATCCGGGTAGTTTCAGATGCCCACCTCCCTTCGTCGGAGACTCCGAAGCTTGATGAGCATTCGATGCAACCGTTGGCTTCGAATCGGTTGAGATCATATTCGTTGCTTTAGGCGTCTTTTTGGATCGACCAGAATTTCCCGTTGCCACGGTGGGCGCATTGGGAGCAGGACTGCTACATGGCGTAGCTGAAGATTCACCCAGATGCAGGTATCGCTTCACGAATGGTGCAGAGAGAGCTTTTTCGCTACTTTGTTTGAACTTATTTGCAATACGTTTAGCACGCCGCTTCCAGTTAAACTTCTGGTTGCTCGGGACATTAGCCCACATCTCGCCCAGACGTTTTGACATGCTACCGAAATCGAGGTCCGGGTTCGAGATAAGTTGTTTTCTGTTTTCCTTTGCCCAAAGCATGTACGCCGTGAACCGCCGTTTCCCTTTATCCTTACGCTGGGTTTTGCCGATCACAACCTAAAAACAACAGCATTCCGTAAACTATGCGTAGCACTACGCGCATCGTTGTGTTACCTTCCCATCCTTCAGCATCTTTTTGTACTTTGAAGACTTTTCCGACATGTACAAACTGCGTTTCGGAGCCATCTCTATGACCAGCTCACCTTCGCTTTTGTCATCTTCTTCCTGGGTTCCTTCCATATCTTCGATGTCCATCGCGTCGTCGTCATCATCGTCATCGTCATCTGAATCTATATGGGAATCGTGGCCATCATCTCCCGAGTCGGAAGGAACATCACTATCACCCAAGTGTAGTTCTGATTCCCGTTCCAATTTGATAGCATCCTATAATGCGCAAGCGTACGTAAAACAACATCCAACGATCAACATTAATACGAAATTCTCACAGCCAAATGTCCCAGGCCCGTTCCAGGTGTGTTGGCTGATTTCGTTTTCTGTGCTTTCTTCTGCTTGGCATCGGAGATGTCGTCTGGTGATTGAAAGTCCATCAACTTGGATGATTTCTTGCAGACGCGTCCACTTCGTGAAACTCCCGTGACTTCCAGCTCGGCTGATGATTTAGATCAATATTAAATTTTGATTATAAATTAACACTATAATGCATTAAAAACTTACCATGAGCTTTGGGTGTATGTTCCATCATCTTAATCGCCAGTAATTTCGGCGGATTTTATGAAAAAAAAAGTATGATAATAATCCAATCACAAACACAACAACACACTGCAGTAAACTCAAAATAATAATATTAAGTTTTATGTTTTTCTGTTTGCTCGCCTTGTTTTTGTTATGCTTTTGACAACTTTGCGCGATCAGTGTTGCCGTTTGTTTTGAAGCTAATTTTGAAATATTTCCAAGAAACACACTAAAGTGAAAGCAAGTCTAAATAGAGTGCATACACTCTTTTTCAATACAATAAACACTCAAATATACTAATAATTGAAAATAGTATAAAATTTAAGCTTTATTTGATTTAGCTGTGTTTATACCTCGGTTTATACATGAAAACGAATAATGTGTCACGGGTGCTTACGGGTCCGCCCTTCCGTTTTTGGCCCTTCATACAGCGATGTTGTGAATGCAGATCGGTACCTCAAATTTATCTTGCTATTAAGTGGAGCTGCATACAAGATAATGGTGGCTACCTTACATACATACATACATACATACAACGAATAATGTGTCAAAAAATCATATTCGTGCTTCTCAAGTCAGCAACATGCCACACTGTTTACTTTCGCCAAAAAAATTTTTTAAAAAAGTTTCAACTTGCAGTAAGATTATTATACATTAATTATAAAAAAAATAGTGCATTGATTTTGGAATTTATCTTGGAGTCTTGCTATCGATTTCGGACTTAATAGAATAACCACCAGAATAAAAAAAAAGGTATTATCGTTTCAGTACACGAAACGAAAATCAATTATTTTATTCATGTGTTTCACTTATACAATTTTGCCAAAGCATCAGCCTTATACATTCCATAAGACAAACCACATAGGTCCTACAAGAATGCATAAAAGGTATGTGTGACCGCTTATACATTTCATTTGACATATGAGCTTCATTAACTTTTTGCAAGGCGTCTGCTTATTAGTTGACTTATACATTTTATGCAATTGAATTTTGCCAAAAGGTATAAGGAGATTTCTATCCGTGTAGAAAACCGGAAAATCCCACACGCGCCAATTGAATTTACTCTCGTTCTGTACGTTAAACATAACGTCGGACATAGTGCGCTGTATTCACACAATGATGCGCTATTCCGCGCACTATGTCCGACGTTATGTTTAACGTACAGAACGAGGGTAAAATCGAATGTCGCGTGTGGGATTTTCCGATGTCCAACTTGAACGACAGTATTTGCATCCAAACATTTTAGTTCAGGTTTGAATCGAGGGGGGCGACACATCTAAATCTCAAGTTTAGATGCTCAACAAATCTCACACTAGCGAATCAATCTTCGAAAAATCTTCTTTCATTTGGCGCATCTACTTGCATCGTGCATCATCTTTTTGCAGGAAATCTTCAGAATCGTCATCAATCTTCTTTCTGTCTACTCAGCGTGCGCGCAGCTAGCCACAGTAAAACACTATCTTTTCTGCATCGTAGATAGAGTCGTCCCCCTCGGTTTAAATGCATTATAATTAAATTATGTTCGCATCGCATCATCACTAAATAAACCGCTTCCTTAAAAAAAATATATTGAATTTACCAACTTTCCAGCGCTCTGGGAAGTACGCCCAACGATGGGAACAAACAGAGTTGCGACCTATCACAATCACGATCGTCAAACAGCTGATAGTAGTAACGATTTGTACATTCCTATCGATGTGCTCGTTGAAGCTCTCGTCATGACCATCCATCAAGCTGACGAAAGAAGTAAAATGCAACTGGTGAATGTCGTCTTCGGCGGTGATTCATCATCGATCTGGCCATTCCCGACAATCACGCCATTCATCTGTGCTCGTTTTGAAGCAGTTGTTGCTTTGCTTGCTTATGTGAGTGTGTTGGTGAGTGAGCCCAACAGCTTCCGTTTAATTTTGCTAGCTTTATTGCTTGTAACTCACACAGTCGCGCGTGCCGAGACGAACCGTAGGCCGAGGGCGACGACTCTATCTACGATGCAGAAAAGATTGTGTTTTGCTGTGGCTAGCTGCGCGCACGCTGAGTAGCTAGAAAGAAGATTGATGACGATTCTGAAGATTTCCTGCAAAAAGATGATGCTCGATGCAAGTAGATGCGACAAATGAAAGAAGATTTTTCGAAGATTGATTCGCTAGTGTGAGATTTGTTGAGCATCTTAATTTGAGATTTGTACAGCAGGCATTGTTTTCATTTTATTCTGTCGTTTCGCTTTTTCTCATCATCGTACTGCAGAAGTCTTCACTGTTTCCGTTGTGCTTTACATCATCAGCAGCGAGTGTTACGTTTTGCTTGTGAGCGACGACCATTACTGATGATTGTTGTTTGCCATGGCTCTACCTCTCACTGCGTGAAACGTTCTGGCGGTGATAGCAACAATCAATACGAAACTAACGATTTTAAATTGGCTCACCACTTTAGTAGCCTATTGGTCCCAAGCAAACGATTAACGTACCCTATTCTAGTTGAAATTCTATTACTACACTATGTTTGTTTTGATTCGCTATGAAAGTTTGACAGATAACATCAGGGGTGTGTGGATTCATGCAGAACATGCAGGGGTGAGTGAAATAGCTTGGGACTGCTTGGGACCGTTGTTCTGGTACTGAGTGAGCCAAAAATAATAATGATTTTCTTCGGAACCCAGTGGTCTTAGAGTTACCTCTATGGTGATAGTCGGTTGATGCGTTGACGAGTGTCGAGTGAGTGTCATGATATTTTGCCTCACTGGGAACAAAAATGCACTACTGAATGATCAGTGAAGGAAGGTGCAGCACCTATGTGTACTTCTCATCCCTGGCAAGACTAGTACTTGCTGAAACCGTGTTAGTGTTGAAAACACGTTTTTAAGCTACATTCATGTGTGCCGCATGATTATATCGCGTTAAAAGTTTTTAATGGTGTATTAATGCCATAGAGGTAACTCTAAGACCAGAAGGTCCCGAAGAAACGTGCTCAACTGTTTGGCTCAGCTCTGGTACTCTCTTCGGTCCCAAGCTAATCGATGCACCCGTCGAAACATAGGAAAATCCACGAGCCCCTCACTTTATCTGTAAAACTTTCATAGCGAATCAAAACAAACATAGTGTAGTACTAGAATTTCGACTAGAGTGGGGTACGTTAATCGATTTGCTTTGGACTAATAGAATAGTCAAGTAGTGAGCCAATTTAAAATCGTTAGCTTCCACTAGAAATACTCAGAGGAAGAGATAAGTGGAAGGAATCCCTAATAAAAATTGTATGGTTAATTTGCTTAACGACGTGTTCTGGGTATCATCCAAACCATTTGTGGAATAGTTCAATGATTTGGGTTATCGTTCGTTTATGGTTATTTTTTATTAGGGATGTTTTGAGCCAAATGAAGTGTCAAAATTTGAACATTCCCAAATTCAATCACCTTTATGTTTCGTGTGCTTCTCAAATTCAACTAGTTTTTTCTTTAATAAAAAACAATATTCTAACTCTATTGATTAATTGATCTTAGTTGGTATCTCAAGTATTTCTAGTATGATCTTAGTTGAGTATTTCTAGTTTCCACCGGTTGGTAATGCTGTTATCACATCAAATTACAATGCATTTCATTTTTAGGCAACGATAGCTTTACAATGTTACTGAACAAAGGTGAATACAGTCAGCATAATAATTCTTATACCACCGACGAACTTATACCACTATACGAGCTTTCTTAAATCACAAACGAAGTGACAGACGGAGCGGCTCGAAAACTTTGGTGACGCACCTGCTATTGCAATTTTTCAGTGTACCACATGGCAACACCACTACTACTGGATTGTACCACATGGCAACACTACTACTAGATTGAACTAGCATTTTCACCAAATGTACTAGAATGTTTTGGTTCTATCTCTTTCACTCTACTCAAAACTGAAATGCATAAAAAAATGACAAAATGATACGCACTCTTTGCACACTGTCAAAGAATCATTGTACACAAAATCAACTTTGTTCAAATCAAAACAAAAAAACTAACCCATCTGGTGGATGATGGCATAAGCTTCCAAGAAAATTCTATTACAGTGAACCACATTATTTAAATGGATTTCTTCGCCAGTTAGTCGTCTGTCACTTCGTTTGTGCTTAAATGCTTTATAAACGATATATTGAATTCATTATTCCAAAACACTGGTAATGGATGGTTTTGTACACAGAAAAAAAAGTTGTTGAATATTACATCCAAACTGCTGCAACCAGCGAGGCAACCAGGTCAATCCATCGGTTATACGATGTACATCGATTTTGCGAACAAAATTACATCCATTGATGTAATATTGTATCTGATTTTTGCTATTACAGCATTATTTCATACATCAGCTTGAATTACATTGATCGATATAACATTTTTTTTTGCTGTGTATCATCGATCAATTTTATGTGGAATATATCGTGATACATAAGCTTGTGGTCGATGTCAATCATACAAGGTCTGGAACAACAGGCAGTTTGCTGGTGTACTGCACAACATTCTAATATTGCGAATAAGGCTGTCCACGAGACAGTTGCGATGAGCTGACTTTTTTGTTTACCAAGAACTTTTTAAAGATCACAGTAGAACTGGCAGTTTATTCTCATATGAATTTCTGCTTTGTTTATGTTTACATTCAGCACCATTAACACCAGATCACTCACACATTCTAGATTTATCTCTGTCAGTTCCACTGAGAAATGTCTCTTGCACTCAAAAGATTTTCAAATCTAAATAGATTGAATACAAGCTTAGTATAAAAATAGTTTATTCAATGTATAGTGTAAAGTGAATCTTGCAAATATAAAGCTCGTGTCTGATGTTCGATCGAAAAGTTCTCCTTATAACTGACAACCAGAGCCACTACCACCGGGGACATCCTTGATCTGTTCTTGCTGCTTGCTTACAAAACTTTTCTTCCTGTCCGAGTGACTTGAAGAAAAACAACTTCACATACCTGTGAAGTGTGCACTGGACTTATCGAATCTCACCAAATACGTTCTCGAACTGCAAACTTTCTGAAAGATATCGTCCGCATTGCTTACTATCGGATAGGGAGTCTTCCTAGCTGGGGGATTAACTACTGTGTCGCGGTGCCTTAGTAGGATCCAAGACCATATTTGGTACCGTGCGTTGTAGGTAAACTTCATGTTCTACCTGCTTGAATATTTCTTCCTGATGTAAAGAAAGATCCAATCAAGGCTATTTGCATTATGTGTGGAATATTTTATTAAGTCGAAGATCGTTTTAGGTTAGGTTAGATTTTCTTTAATGAGGCTTTCAACCTGGGACTTGTTTGCCTCCAGCTGATCGTTTTAATTAATTTATAATAATTTAATGACCTTATCGAATGGAACAATTGCTACCACTTTAAAAAAAACTAATCCAGAATGGTGAAGCGCGTGCCAATCTTTTTATACTACTGAGGAATTTTCGTTTCAAAATCAATGTTGTGATTAATTTGAAATTTAAGATAGATTTATTTTTATACTAAGCGATGTTTAAATCGCATTTATCGAAAAAAATTATACTTTTTAATCTAACAATGTTTTGAACTTTTTTTGAGTGTGGATCACCTTAGAGCAACCGTAACGGTCGTTGTCATTTGCTCGACTATTTTAACAGCGCACTGCGCTCTCATTTTAGTATAGTCACTCTTCTCCACACCGGTCGCTGCTATCGCGGTTATCAATTTACTCGCCGTAGTCCGTACCGGTAGTGAGCATTTTGACATTTCTACGAATAGCAACCTTTCTCCCGTGCTGCTAAATTTGGTAACGCGCTTCTCACCGAGAAGCCGATTGCTATTTTAGTTACTCGTATGGCAACCCCCGATACGGTAGCTGCGCTATGATGAGGGCTGCTAAAGGAGTTTAGCAGCGTACCGTTACGGTTGCTCTTATACCATAAAATAAATATGGACCAACAGATCTGTGCTATAGTCGCTATATTAATAGTCTGGCGGATAGAATTTCGATCTATCAAAAAGCGGAACCATTTCAATATATTTTAGACCAACAATTGAAAAGGTACTATCAACTTTTATAAATAAAACGTTAATTATTCTTTCCTCGCCAATCGAACGCAAATTACCAGTATCATCGGATAGCGGAAACTTTCCCCAACTCAAATATGGTGTTAGTTTGCGTAAGCAAGCCTTGAGTCACCAGAAAAGGGTTTCCAAAGTTTTGATCGCAATAACTGATGTGATCTTTTCTGTTGTTGGTCGTGATTTCTCGCCTAACTTTTCAAAAGGTCCTAAGTAACAAATGTAAACAAATCGAGTTTTTAAATGCACATTGTAACATTTGTACCTAAGAACATTATGCACACACATACACATTCAGATTAATGTCAATTGATTTGAGAAAATTCTAAATTAACAAAACGTCTGAAGTTTAAATTTGCATTAACGATGTTTCACTGTTACATAAGACGTTTGACTATGTTCATCAAGACAAACGTCTGAAGTATCAGAAAAACCAAAACAATGCAGATCTGTACTTCGGTCCTTTGTGTTTACACGAGTCAAAAGTCTAAAATGTTTAAACAAACCAAAACAATGTGATTGTGCACATCAGAATTTTCATGTCAAGCATTTTACTACTATTTCCACGTGAGGGGAGGGGGGAGGGGTTCAAAAATATCCACGGCCCATACAAATTTTAAAATTGTTATATGGACAATTGTCTACGCATGGGGAGGGGGGTCAATAATACCGAAAATCTGTCTACGTAGTTAATTAACAGCCCCTAAAATAACACTGTTATCAAATAAAAAGCAGCTCACGCGACCACCAACGATCGACCAAAACAATCTGTGGGCAGTGTTGCGATATACCGTTAAAAAAAGTTGATACATTGTCCAATACGAGTCCAATACTCATATTGTTCGTATAACTCATCGTATAACTTAAATTATGCACTCATAATGCTTAAAAACAAACATATAATGTTGAAAACACAAATGACCTATGTAACTGTGATTATAACAAAACGTCCTATATAGCATGTCCAATGTACACCTGACAAGAGCAAAATGTCCTATGTAACATTTTTCACGTTTTCATAGAAAAAAATGTATGAAACGGGTAGATTATAATTTCAATTTCAATTTTACTATCGCATTTTACTATTAAAGGTCTTAAAAATGTCAAAAGTTGATTTGGTTTAAAATAGTATCAAAAAAGATTTTGTCAATCTTCAATCTCGTTTTTCTTGAAAAGAGTGAAATGTTAGATAGGACATTTTGAAAAGTTAAGCGAGATTTGCTCGATTGGTTCCGCTATTTGACAGCTCAATTGGTTCCCGTGATTCTATCCGCCAGACTATGAATATAGCGACTATTGGCAAATCAAAGTTGGCACTCGTGGAGAATAGATGAACTATGAAAGTGATGATGGTTTCAAAATTTTACACGGTGGGGTATACGAGTTCAATCTTAAAATGCCTTTATTTTGCAAATGGAGCATTTTATTTAAATCTGGTTAATGCTACATTAGTAGAAAACTTAAGGACTACTCAATAGATATATAATATAGAAAAAATAATTTCTTTTCAGATTTTAAGGTGTGTGCATAGATTTCAGCTTTTCTACAACTGCAGCAACAACCAGATTTAAATACAATGCTCCATTTTCAAAATAAAAGCATTTTAAGATTGCACTCGTATAGCTCTCCGTGGAAAATTTTTAAAACCATCATCACTTTCATAGTTCGTCTATTCTCCACGAGTGCCAACTTTGATTTGCCAATAGTCTGTGCCATAAAAAGGGTGGAATAAAAGCCATAAAACTTTTTCTCTACTTTTTCACAGTGTATCGAGTGAAATATTTCAATGCATCAGAAAAAAATATCGCTCGCTGGAAAGTTCAGTTAGTTCGAGCGGGAAAATGAAAGTGTAAACATCGTAACAGTGAACGTTAAATTCAGCGGATGGATTAGTGTTTATAATTCTGGAGAAAACATAATTTGTGCTGTTTTCGGTTGTACAATGTAAACATTTTTCATTCAGTGATTTGTGTATCTGCCTAATAAGTGTTTGTGTTGAAAAATAAAGGTATGTGGTATCAAATTCTTATCGTTATTTCGATCGCTTTTTGATTCATGATTCCGTCACTGCTAGAACATTGCAAAATGGCCAATCAAGAGTTCGCTCGGGCTCGCCCGATTCTCGCAGAAATCCCAGCGGGAATGGGCTTTCCACTACATCATCATCGGGTTGCTGCCCCTCTGGGAGCAAACCGAAGACATGCATTGAACCCCGGTCTGATCGATAGTCCAGCTGCCAATATACCGGACAGTTACTTGTCACCTCGGATGTCCCCTGATGAAGCCGTCATACAACAGAGAGGTCGTCGTCGAGTGCCCATCATGTGGAGCCCAGAAAAAGGTTTACAGTCACCGCACAAAACTCCAACCAAGAGCATTTCAGCAATGACGCTGCGAAGTTCTCCACGGAAGCGTTCACTTATCAAGGAACTATCGGATGTTCGCGTTTCTGGACCTGATGCGAGTTACTCGTCTCCTCCAAGCAAACGAAGCACACCCTCAAAGGGTTCCCCCAGCAATTCCAAAAAAATACGTCTACAGGAAGGATCCATGAATCGCAATAACGGTGAAGTTCCACTGGAAACCTTATTGAAAGGCTTCAGCCAGGATCAGCTGATTTCGATAATAACCGGAATGGTACAGGCAAATCCACGGCTGGAAGAATCTATCCGATCTGATTTACCAATTCCGGACATAACATCGTTGGAGGAGCAGTTGAGTTACCAGAAGAAGAACATCTTTAAAAGCCTTCCTGCAACGCGCTTGGTAAGCAAGACGGACAGTCCTGCTTATGCGCGAGCGGCTACGCATTTGGCTGCATTCAAGAAGTATTTCGTGCTGTAAATCGTGATGTTGTTTCTCGAATCATTATTTTTTTTCTAGGACTCTTGTCGATCACAGTCAAACGCTGCACAACTCTAAACACTGGGACGCACTGCTCGATTACGTCGCAATGGCATGGCACTACGTACGCTCGACACCGGTTTGGGACAATCACGCTCATAATGCCGTTCGCAGACATTGCTTCAAGATCCTATCGTATCATGCCAGCAGTGCCCTGAAGTATGGATCAACGGCCTTAGGCGAGGACAGAGTAAATCGACTCCAAGGAAAGCTGAAGGCAATGGCTGCCGATTGTGAAGACATCAATGATTGCAATTCGTACCTAGACTATCTTCTGAACAGGGTCTGACTGACTGCTATTCCAAAGCCTCAACATGTGTATGTTCAAGATGCTTAGGTATGCGTTACTTCTTAAAACGAGCTCTGAACGGTTCTACTTATCATTCTATTCTTTTACCTTATTATAATTAAGCAAAAAAAAAAGTTCAAATTGTCATTATTCATATTTTTGTTAGGCATATTTTTCGTATCATGGTACCTATATTGTTCTATTCTAGCCATATCTAATGCATGGCTAGGCACAATCGTTTTGTGCATTGTATTACGACTTATAACTGCATGTTCAATCAATGTGTAGTTTGCAATTGCCATTTGAAATAATTTCCAATAAACGTTTTTTAATGCAAAATAAAAAGATAAACGGCCTTCGCTTACATTATTTCTAGGCTAACATTTGAAAAGGGCGTAACTCCAGAATGTACATATTTTGCCACATATATAGAGAACAGTTCACAAACTACTCGATAAACACGAAAAAGTAGAAGAAAATATCACTTCAAATCATCAAAAACGTTTCTTTATCATGGTGTATTTCCAACTTTCAAATCTATGATGCATCTGGTTGTTACGCCTTGCACCAGAACTACGAATTATTTTGTTTTAATATGCCAAACGTGTAGTATCTAGTCACGCCCGATTCGTTTTAAATCCTTTCGATTGATATTTCTCGCGTCACTTTTCAAAAAGACCAATGTAACAAATGTAAACAAATTGAGTTAAGCTATTCAAACTATTGCTCTTCCATCATTGTATGTGATACAAAAACATCCATCCAAATTTACTTTAATTTATTTTCGATAGTCATAGGTCAAAAATTGTCGGACTGCCTAACATGATTGGTGCTCATTTCCTAAAGGCGGGGCCAATCTAAAGTTAGGTACTCTACTATGAAATCTGTGAAAGGGAATTTAGTATCATGTAGAACAAAACGTCCAATGTAACACTCATTGATTATGTCTTTAGAAAAATCGTCCAATTTCAACATGTCCGATGTACAACTTGACTAGTCAAAACGTCCTATGTGTTTTTTTTTTCTATATTGTAGCATGAAATTCAAAGTAAAGTTGTGATTTTACCGTTTCTACTGAACGTTAATTATTCACTGACTACATTAAAAATAGTATTGCAAAATGTATTGTTTCTAAACAGTTAAAATAATAATCTGCCGAACTTCAACTTCGATTTTCTCAAAATGGTGGATATGTTACATTGGTCTATTTGAAAAGTGACGCGAGATTTCACGTGTAAACAACGAACAAAAAGAAAACCAAAAAAAATCTCCGGGCGTAATTCCACTCTCACAAAATTTGCGAACAAAGAACCAAGGCGGAACAACAAACAAAAAATCCCGATGGTGTATTTCCACGACCCCCCCCCCCCCCCCCCCTTCTGTCTCGCCGGGGGCCCTTCGTGGACAGCTATGTTTTGAGTACCACACTAGCACTAGGACGGGGATCAGCCGCTCCTAACATTTAAAACACCATGTGGGGGTTGGTGCAGGCCCTACAAGCCAACCGTAAATGAACAAAAGTGCAGGAAGCAAGCAATGTAAATACGGACCGGAACAATCGGCATAGACCCAAGCAACGGAAATGGACTAACGATTGGAAACTCGGAACATGGAACTGCAAGTCTCTCAATTTCTTGGGAAGTACCCGCATTCTTTCCGATTTATTGAGGGTCCGCAAATTCGAAATCGTAGCGCTGCAGGAGGTTTGCTGGAAAGGATCGTCGGTACATACGTATAGGGATGGTTATACCATCTACCAGAGCTGCGGTAATACACATGAGCTGGGTACAGCTTTCATCGTGATGGGCGAAATGCAGAAGCGCGTGATTGGGTGGTGGCCAATCGACAGCAGAATGTGCAAGTTGAGGATCAAAGGCCGTTTCTTCAATGTCAGCATAATCAACGTGCACAGCCCTCACTTAGCAAGTGACGATGACGATAAAGACGCTTTTTACGCGCAACTGGAACGGGAATACGACAGCTGCCCAAGCCATGCCGTTAAATTCGTCATCGGAGATCTTAACGCTCAGGTCGGCCAGGAGGAGGAATTCAGACCGGTTGTAGGAAAGTTCAGCGCACACCAACTAACGAACGCCAACGGCCTTAGGCTCATCGATTTCACCGCCTCTAAGAACATGGCCATACGTAGTACCTACTTCCATCATAGCCTCCCATATCGGTACACCTGGAGATCACCGCAGCAGTCAGAATCGCAAATCGACCACGTTTTGATCGACAGAAGGCACTTCTCGGACATTATCGACGTCAGGACCTATCGCGGCGCAAATATCGATTCGAACCACTACCTTCTAATGGTGAAGGTGCGCCAAAAACTTTCCGTTGCCAACAACATTCGGTACCGACGCCCGCCACGGTACAATCTGGAGCGACTGAGTACGTGCAATGCCTCAACGCAGCGTTGCCGGATGAGGGAGAGCTCACCGAAGCCCCTTTTGAGGACTACTGGAGCAACGTGAAAGCAGCCATAACCAGTGTTGGGTTCGTGGAACGGAATCGACGGAACGATTGGTTCGACGAAGAGTGTCAGACGGCTTTGAACAAGAAGAACGCAGCGCGGACGGCGATGCTGCTCCAAGGAGCCCGTCGTAATGTGGAGCGATATAAACAGAGGCGAAGACAGCAAACCCATCTTTTCCGGGATAAGAAGCGCCGCCTGGAAGAGCTGGAGTGCGACAAATTGAGCAGCTGTACCGTTCTCAAGAAACACGCAAGTTCTACAAGAAACTCAACACATCCCGCCAAGGCTTTGTGCCGCGAGCCGGAATGTGTCGGCACTACGATGAACATCTGAACGGCGGATAGGCGGAGTACCAAGGCGGCAGGAGGAATGACTTCGTCGGTACAGCAGATGAGAGGGACATGCCAGCTCCCACAATAGGTGAAGTTAAGGATTCTATCCGACAGCTTAAAAACAACAAAGCATCGGAACGGAACTTATCAAAATGGACCCGGATAAGTTGGCCACTTGTATGCACCGACTGATAGTAAGGATCTGGGATACAGAACAGCTACCGGAGGAGTGGAAAGAGGGAGTAATATGCCCAGTATATAATAATGCGACAAACTAGAATGTGAGAACTATCAAGCGATCACTATTATTAACGCGGCCTACAAAGTGCTTTCCCAGATCATCTTTCGCCGTTTATCGCCGCTAGCAAGCTGATTTGTGGGAAGTTATCAAACCGGCTTTGTGGACGGGCGATCGACAATGGACCAAATCTTTACGTTGTGACAGATCCTCCAAAAGTGTCATGAATATCAAGTCCCTACGCACCACCTATTCATCGATTTCAAGGCCGCTTATGGTACTATTGACCGTGAAGAGCTATGGAAGATTATGGACGAGAACGGTTTTCCCGGGAAGCTGACCAGACTGATCAGGGCTACGATGGATGGTGTACAGTGCTGCGTGAAGATATCGAGTGCGTTATCGGACGCGTTTGAAACTCGCAAAGGACTTCGACAAGGCGATGGTCTTTCCTGCCTCCTGTTCAACATTGCGCTAGGTGTTATGAAACGTGCGGGCTTTAACATGCGGGCACGATCTTCAATAAGTCCAGCCAGTTCATCGGAAGAACGTTTCAGGTCGTGGCGGAGCAGTGCACCAGGCTGAAACGTGAAGCAGAGAAGGTTGGATTAAAGGTGAATACGTCGAAGACACAGTATCTGTTAGCTGGAGGAACCGAGCGGGATGGTGCTCGCATAGGCAGAAGCGTGACAATCGACGGAGATGAGTTCGAGGTTGTGGATGAATTTGTGTACTTCGGATCATTGGTGACGTCGGATAACAACTGCAGCAGAGAAATTCGTCCGCGTATTATTGCCGAAAATTGTGCTTACTATGGACTCCACAAGACCCTGAGGTCGGATAAACTTCATCTCCGTACTAAATGTACCATGTACAAGACGCTGATAAGACCGGTAGTTCTCTACGGGCACGAGACGTGGACGATGCTCGAGGAGGACCTGAAAGCACTGGGTGTTTTCGAACGACGAGTGCTTAGGACCATCTTTTGCGGGGTATGTGAGAACGGTGTAAGGAGACGAAGGATGAACCACGAGCTGGCGCAAATCTATGGCGAAACCTGTATCCAGAAAGTTGGACGGGTACGATGGGCGGGACACGTTTTAAGAATGACGGACAACAATCCCGCAAAAATGGTGTTTGCCTCGAATCCGGCCGGTACAAGACGAAGAGGTGCACAGCGAGCAAGGTGGTTAGACCAAGTGGAGCAGGATCTTGGAAGTGTGGGACGGTCAAGAAATTGGAGACAAACAGCCACGGATCGAGTGAATTGGCGTAACATTGTTGCAGGTGCAATCCTGAGGGATGTCGGACCAGGATAAGAAGAAGACAGGCTGTCAACCCACCATTTTGTAGCCCGTAAAGACCCAACCTAGCATATTATTGAAGAGAAGAAAACAGAAGAAAGAATAAAGCTACGGGCGCGGGAGAAAGCAAGCAGCACCCCCATTCTTTTTATTGATTATAAAAAAAATGTATTAATCGGCTCCGTAAAGCTTGCTTAAGCTTAATAAATGTATGGATAAAAAAACGCCTTGGATTTGTCAAGATAGAATCGAAATGCTTTATGGAATATTTTGAAACGAAAATTGTGATAAGATGGTACAAAATGTATCGCGAAGTCTCACAATATTGACTGAACACCCTTAAGGACCATCCATATTAGATCCGTTTGCGTTGGGTTGACGTAAATTTGACAGACAATAGATTTAGCTGTAACTTTGCCGCAACGCGTCAGATCCGGATCCAGTATTTTGAAGATTTTGTCAACATCCTGGACTAAGCAAAATTATCAAGCCTCATGATCCAGCTCTAGAGGAATTTCTGATTAAAGTTCTAGAAAGGAAATCACATTCACATTAACTCACATCCTGCCAACTGTATGTTTGTAGCCTAAAGCTTGTCTGGAGACAATTACATTACGATAAAGCAACTCAAAAGATTATTTCTTATTTTTTTTAAACCTCCTAAATCGGTGTGGGTAAAATCTTGACAACCGCTTTCAATACTTCATCCGTCTTGAAGCACCAGTTGACAATATCCTTGCTTACCATACACCACTCTTCGCCATGTTTCGGTTCAGCCGCAACACATCGCTCGAGCAGATCCTTTTGCTGCTGTTCGGTTCCGTGCTGGAGCTCGAACTTGTAAAAGTATGCCCAAGCATCGCCAAAGTCCGGGTCGATTTTGATCTGAGGAAATTTGAGTGTTAGCATCAAACAATTATTGGACTAATACCGCAACAGTTAAGTACTCACAGTTCGGTTGAACCAATCGCGACACTTTTGAATTTTACGTTCGCTCCAAAACAGTTTGGAAACTGCCAGCAGAACGTGTGGATCGTGCTCACACTTCTTGAGTGCATCGACGGATTTCGTTTTCCGTTGGGGACGTGGCTCCAAGAAAATCGCTTCCGCCCACAGCTCGCCGGCATTTGGACAATCCTGGAGAGCTCGGGCCATCAGCGTGTTGGCCATGTCTTTGAGCCCTGCACGTATTTCGATTCGAATAGCCGCAAGCCAGAGAATGGAGTTTTTGGGGTTTTTCAAACGACCACGTTCTAGCACTGAACGGGACTTGGTCAGTAGTTTACGCTTTTCTTCAAGGGAGGACAAAAGCAACCAAAGGGAAATCGAATTGGGACATTTCTTTAGTCCAGCGATGTAAGTTTCAACCGCTTGTTCAAGTAGATTTTTCTGTTCTTCAATTTGTCCTTTCATCATCCAAAGTTTGGCAAAATCTGGGAATACTTTCACGGCATCATCTAGAAGACTGAGAGCTTCTTCAAGATTGTTGAGTGCCCATTCCAGTTTAGCAGATTTCATCATGACTCTGGGAGTAGGTGCAGAAGCTCTAGCTTTGGCCAGCAAACGTCTAGCACGTTCGTATTCTGCATTTTCAGATTCCAGTTTAACAGCAGCGAGCCAAATGTCTTCGGAATTGGGATTGGCTTGGAAAGCAAGCGAAAGAATACCCCGAGCAGCCGGAACATCTCCAGCCAACCATTTGGACTTAGCTCCCATTAGCCACAAAACTTCCGACTTAGGACAATGTGCAACGGCTTTCTGGAGAAGCGCTTCCAGACTTTCACGAGTTCCATGATTCTTTTCGAAGTACGCTGCTCGCAGCCAAATGCTCTTCTTCGAAGGGAACTCTGACAGTGCATAGTTGTAGACGGCGCGAGCGCATTCAAAGGCTCCTTCCTTAGCGCAATGATCGGCATCATCGATCCAAGTCTGCTTTCGGTCCTCCTCTTCTATTCCAACAGAAATTACGGCCTTCACGACGGCTTGACAGCATTTGATGGCGCCAGCTTTCTCCGCTTCCATAGCTTCCTGCAACCACTGATCTCTGTTGACTTCAACTCCATTGGCGTTAAGAGAGCTCAAAGCACGGTCAACAATCTTCTCCACCATGTGAATATTTCCGTTAGCTTCTTCCAACTTGGCAGCAGTCGTCCAAATCTGTCTGTCGGTAGGAATATTTTCACGAGCTTTGTTCAGCACCTTACGAGCATTTTCGTACGTTTCTAATCGTGCCAAAGCTAACCACAATTCCACGCTGGTATTACAACACTCCACTGCTCTCGAGAGGAGGATCTTAGCATCCTCGGGATTTTCCAACTCAACAGCTGCTTTCCATAATCTGACAGAATTTGGAATATGTTCCAACGCCTTCCGGAAAACACGTCTCTTGGCTTTGACCTCTGTTTCCAAGTCAGCTGCTTTAATCCAAATCCTCACCGACGTCGGAATATGCCGCGCAGCTTGCGCAATCACTCCCTTTGCAGTATCCGGCGGTTGAAGACGAGCCGCCTCCAACCAAAGATCTTCACTCAACGGATTTACTTCGCAGCCTCGCATAATTAAATTACGTGCCATCTGTACTTTTCCGGTAACTTCCTCCAAGCGAGCACTAGCAATCCAGGCCGGCGGATGGTTGGGATTGGTTTCACGAACGCTTTTCAGTAGCAGTCGTGCCTTCTTGATATCGTTAATATCTCCACCATAAGTAGGAATCATACTTTGAAGATCCGTCAAATATCCCTTAGGATCGACCACTGTTTGTCCGGCAACCGAATCCGATACCTGGGACAATTTTACATTCATCAACGTGTTTCTTGCCTGGCCGATCTTTCTCAAATCCAAGTCACCACTTGGAGTCAGCATTCCCGGCGTTGAAACGCCTGGAATCATCGAAGCCAGCCCGGATCTTCCATCGATCGTACTGCTCGATTCTCCGCCCAAACTCCTCGACAGGACACTGTCCGGCAAGGGAGTGAACTTCTCTGCTCTAGGGTTCCTTTGCTTTTTATTCCGACTGTCTCCTACCTCCGGCAAATTGGCCCATTCATCCTCACTTACTGCGATTAAATTACGCTTTAAATCTGAAAATTGCTGTTGAATTTTGGGCCGCTCCTGACGATACCTTTCCAAATCCTCTTTCAACCGTTTCTCTCGATACTCCTTTCGCTTCTCATCCATACGCTTGTCGATGCTTTCGTAGATGGCATCCGCCTCTGCATCATCTTTATCGTAGGGATCCTTCGAAAAGAGCGAACCACTGTAACCACTGAACTCATCGTAGTTGGAATCGTTCAAATCCTCATCGTCCTCCTCCTCCTCCTCCTTTTTCTTACGCTTTGCTGCCGGCGGTGCATGGCGGTCATCCCTGGAGGAGTAAATCTTATGTTTTGGTGCTCACTGCACTGAAATCTGAAAATACTTACGACACATCATTAGCATCTCGAGCTGGACCGATATCCGAACGGGTTGTGAAACCGGTAGCACTGTGATGGAATAAAAAAATATTAATATATTGTATTAGTACGAATAACTCTAATTACGCATCGAAATAGAATATGCTTACCCACGACCTACACCGGCGACGTAGCCAAGAGGAGCCGGAACACCGAGAAAGTGCTTCTTACTTTTACTTCCCAGCGACGTTGCTGGAATGTGGGCCATTGTCGGGAATCGGTGAAATAACTATTATTTCAAAAACTGCCAATATTAGTTGGCGAAATTATAAAAAATAGCCACTTTTTCTTCGCTAAAACGTTTGATGCACGAAAGAAAAACAAACCACTCAATGTTTACATGCGTGTTTGACATCGATCATTGGGCGACTTTGCAGGTTTCTCGACAATAGTAATGAGCGATTACGCAATCAATTCGATTTTAATTATTTTCTGACGGGACCCGTTTAAATATTACGTAAAATTTAAGCCAAAAGTGATTGAACGGCATTGGAATTCGAACGAATAGGAAATCAGTGTAAATGAAATACTATATCGATTGGACTGAACAGCATTACGATGAAGGATGTGAGCTGGCTGCAGGATATTATCAGCTTCCAAACGAGAAGGAATACCGTTTAGGATCGTTGAAAAAAAGAATAGTTTTTCGAAACCTGATTTATGGAATCTATAAAGGAAATCCAAGGTGAGTTGTTCTTTGTATTTGTTTTTTTTTTGTCAAATATTTGCATATTTAATGTTGAGTTTTCGATTTGTGAACCATTTCTTTCTTCGATCCAGATACAAATTTTACGATGGTTCATCGTTTGTAACCAGGTGGCACCATTGCGAACCTATTCTCGCCAGAACCATGAAGGACATTGTGACATTATAGCCACCAACACGAATATGTGGATATGTGGAGCACCAGATTGATTTGCACTACCGGCTGCATGGTGAATCGGTTTAAAGAACGGCTGCAAGATACTTTATGCGTGGTAAATACAGGAAATTGGGTTGTTTAGGGGTATTGAGGTAAATACATATTCGTTATCTGCATTAAAAATGGAACCGAAATCCGAAATTTCATCAATTTTGGTACACTGGAACTATTTTAAATAAGTACGATTACATTAGCAAAGATCACCATCTTAGCGCCCCTTGCTGGGACTTTGTATGGGAGCGAGCTGTCAACGAATAGATTTACACCCCTATTCTGTATTTCGTTTCGAACGAAATTCTCATACAAAAAAATATTTTTTTGTATGAGAATTTCGTTCGAAACGAAATACAGAATAGGGGTGTTAGTGTCAACGATCAAAATTTTAGCCGGCGCCGGTGGTGTAGTGGTAAGCGTGACTGCTTTCTAACACCCCGATGGGTTCAATCCCAGCCGAGGTCGGTGGGATTTTTCTGAGGCATAAAAATCTCTGGTCACATCTTCCTTCGGAAGGAAAGTAAAGCCGTTGTCCCGGCCCATGTGTGTTTGAATGGGTGCGATAACATACGCAGGTGTGGAAGCTGCCTTCCTGCACATTCGATTGCCGTCAATGGATGGCAATCGATGTCCATCGGTGATTGGCACTAGATTGCGGAACAGAGACCGACGTTAAATAAAGGAAAGAAGAAGAAGATCAAAATTTTAAATCTTGATTTAAAAATCGAGATGAATGTTTACGGGATCGATAAAAATATCGTTGTGCTCAGAAAACAAAGTTCTATCAGATAATATATAAAAATCGGTATATTTTTTCGGAGTTAAACAACTCAATTCGGTAAGTGTTTGAGTTGCTGGACCATCTGCGGTGATGAGTTCATTATCATATTCCTCCAAGAACATCAGGAAGAGTACTGCAAATCCAATAGTTAATCTCTCATCAGTTCTATGACAATATTCTGTAGAACAATCATGTCACAAAACAACATATAATACTAAGTATATATATATATATATATATTTTAGACCTGTGTTCTTGACTATTTTACCTATAGGATGAGTACTTAAGGGGGTTAGATTTCGATAATTTCTTTAGTGGGAATGACACTGATGAAGACTGCACATTGTAGTCGAAATACGTATCTGTCATAGATATCAAAATTAATTAAGTGGAATTAAATGGAAGATAACCTTTTTTGCTGTTTTAGCAATCCGCTAACAACCCAATTTCATTACTTCACTAAGTAAAAATAAAAATAATTAGTCAAATTGATATCCTTCACATCAACGCCATCCCTTCAGAGGGATGGAAAATCATTTACAATAATTTATTTCTAACTTTTTTTCATCAACAGAACTGCGTTATATGAAATATGAAACTTTTGTAGATTTTTATATAAGCTGCAACTTTTGTAAATTATTAGATGATGATGATGATGTGAATAGAACCCACCATCAGTGCAAGGATTGCCTATGACTGCAGATACTTCACTGGTTGTAAAGTTCTGCCTGATGGTTTGTTGCAGCAGGGTGAATCAACTTCATTGAAGACCTTTGGAAGACAAACGACAAGATGTACGTCTATCAACACGTGACAAGGGACTGGCAAATCCACGAACCCTTGTCCAGTCTACAAATCCTGTGAAACCCCCCCCCCCTCAAACCCAGCATATAATAATGTTTGATTAATGAAATGTATTCAAAAAAGGGTTATTTAGAGAGAACAATCTTCAACTGGAACGTACTCACCAAATCAATATATCCGGGAGCGCATTCCCGATGCTTAATTTTCTCTAGTGATTTTTAAACAATTCCTCTTCCAGCGAATTCAACCACACAATAACTAAATATCACTTTTCTTCTTAAAGTTATTCTGTACACGAAAGCAATGCACACCACAAAAACCTAATAATAGATCAGCGCCGTCGAGTCACACCGTCAACAAAAGGAGCAAGAGCACACCAGGCATCTAAACAACAGGGGGGAAACGTCAGCACAAATCATTCTTAATCGAATTATCGCGTCCGGGACACAAAACTATTCAAATGCGAGCACCGAAAAACTACACGGCAGCACAAAGATAGCCCGAGCTCTATAAAAAAGCACGCAACGGAGCAAAAACACACAACCGTTCTCGGACGCTTCTCAAAGCGGACTGTGCAACTTTTGTAAATTATTAGATATTGAACTGTGGTGCAGCTGTCAGTCTAGACAATGATTGACTGCATAGGTTCTGGATCTTAAAAATTTAATTTAAATGGGGATTTATCACCCCGTAAGCAGCTTCTAGCTTGCTCCAGAAGTATTCCTGCAACAATTCTTTCAATAAGTTTAGGATAAATTATAAAAAAAAAACTGAAGTAATTTTACTTGATTGATACCGGAGTCCATGTCTGTTGGTTGACGATGCCATGGATATGTTTTTTTTTACACGTAGCAAAGATTTGACGCATGCGCAGAAACAGTAGAGTGTTGCCAGTTTTTTTTTTAATTTAACGTAAATTTCTGAAAGGCTGCCCAACAGTGCCAATTGGTCTGCCAGAGCTGTGCCAAACCTTTTGGTTGGCACACTGTGTAGAGTGACCACCGAGGGGGGTGACACATCTAAATCTCAAGTTTAGATGCTCAACAAATCTCACACTAGCGAATCAATCTTCGAAAAATCTTCTTTCATTTGTCGCATCTACTTGCATCGCTCATCATCTTTTTGCAGGAAATCTTCAGAATCGTCATCAATCTTCTTTCTATTTACTCAGCGTGCGCGCAGCTAGCAACAACAGTAAAAATCATTGTAATTTCGTTGTTTTATTATAATTCTTTTTTTTCGGGTCGGATTCTTCGAATTTCACTGCTTTTTCAAAATAATAAAAAAAAAAAACATGAGCCTTGAATTGAGCTGTCAAATCAACCGTGTTGCTAAACATGCCATTTTTAACAACCAAACAAAGTCAGCTCAATGACTAGCACTGGCACACTCGGCACGGGCTGCACAGCTGCGGAACACTGAGAAAAAAGTTGACGCATAATATGTGTGTGTTGATTGAACGATAAGGCGGTAAGTTTAATAAACCACGAAACCACAATTGGGTTCTTTAAAGCTGGGTTTAGACAGGGCAAGTCAATTGATCGACTCAGTTGAATTCAATTGGCTTGAAAAGTTGAGCATGATTCAACTTTTTTCAATTCAAGTGAGTTGATCAAGTCAGTTGAATGGCATGGTTTACACGTTCAATTCGCGTTCAAGTCAGTTGAATTCAACTGACTTGATCAATTGACTTGCTCTGTTTAAACCCAGCTTAAGGGTATTCAGGTAAATGCATATTCGTAATCTGCATTAAAAATTGAACCCAAACCTAAAATTTCACCAATTTTGGTACACTGGAACTATTTTAAATAAGTACGATTTTATTTGCAAAAATCACATTATTAGCGCCCCTCGGTGTCACTTTGTATAGGAACGAGCTGTCAGTTTGTCAGTTTAGTATTCATCTTTGGTTTAGTGTCAAATAGTGAAGTTATTATTTAGCTTTAAATCTTGATTTAAAAATCGAGATGAAAGTGTGTGGGTTCGAAAAAAATATCGCTGTGCTCAGAAAACGAAGCTCTTTCAGATGATATATAAAAACCGACATAGGGGAAATGCAGGTAATGTCGGCCTAAGTGTCCCTAATTTGGGCCCATACATAAATTCTGCAATCAACTAAATTTTCAATAGCAACCAAAAATATCCATTAGTAACATCCCAATAACGCGTTCATCTAGATAAAATTGATAAATAGCAGAATTTTAGCGATGGGCCCAAATTAGGGACACGTAGGCCGACATTACCTACATTTCCCCTATTTTTCAAAATTAAAGAACCCAATTGATGATAATGAATCTTGAACCTTGTTTTTCCTTTTCATTCTACTACTATTGTATCACTTTCACTTTCACTATTTACTTTCACTATTACTCAACTCTCCGTATCTCGATATAGAACATGAATAGCCTACTAGACTGTTGTCTGCTATTTTTTACCCACACACTTACAACCAACGCAAAACAAACACATGCGATGGTCGCGTACAGCTGTAAAATATGCAATGCAAAGTTCGTATATGTTTTATAGGCCATAAATGTATAGACCAGTTAAGGGGGTACTGTTAAATTTGCCTATATGGTAGTAACACCGACAAACCGACATCCCAACAAACAATTCAGAGTCACAAATAAGCATATATATTGAATTAATGCTGTATAACAGTGTACAATGCTGAATAAAACGTGTTGTCGAATTATGTGCTGAAAAAAGCTCATTGAGATCGATAGATGCACCCTAGGATGCACCTTTGTTCCACTGTTTGCTCTGATCTGATTAATTTACTTATTAAAAGCTGTAAAAGCGTTAAAT